CAGTGAATGGATTGGAGAGATTGGAGAGCAAAATAGCAGGTCAATCCAGCTGCAAGCCCTTTGGGGTAGAGCAATATTTTACTAGTTCTAAAGCTGGAAAATGCATAAGAGGACAAGTAGAAGAAGTTATCGGTGCCCTGCCAAGAAAGACAGAAAAAGCGGCTAATTCCACGCTCTGATTCATGTATAATTTTGCAAAGACCGTGAGCTTTGTACCGAGACTCTGAATCTTCTAATAGTGCCTCCATTAAAAAAACCAAAAAAGAGCCGACACACCCTTAATACTATCATATTTTAATCACTAACATGCGTGGAAATTTCATAAATCTTGAGATTAATAAGATGATTAGGGTTAGGACCAGAAAAAAAGTCAGTTCAATTGGCTTAAAAAAAAGTCAGTTCAATTGGCTTAAAAAAAAATTTTAAGGTTAATGTTAATCAATACATTTGCTATTTCCACAAGGGATTGAGAATGTCTCTTTCAATCCATATCCACCACCGACCGCCTCTCTGCGTCGATACACTTGTCCACAAACCAAACTTTTAATAATATGCCAATACAAACCCATAAAAAAAAAAAAAAAAAAAAAATGTGGAATTTTAGGTTGATGCATAGAAAAGTATAAGGAAAATTATGGTAGATATTTTGATTTAATTAATTTATTTTTTTGATATTTGTGTGGTTTACTAGTAAAATATAATATAATTATAGTTGATTTAGTTAGTTATTATATGTTGTTTGTTTTTAATTTTATATCAAAAAATAATAATTTTTAAATAAATATGTTGTATAATATTTTAAACTAAATAATATATCAATTAGTATGCAAAATATAAATATTTATAAAAAAATGTAAATACTATTAATGAATCAATGCACATAAGTTATTTATTGAAAGTACTCTGTATTTAAATAATTTTACAGACATTTTCAATTCTTTTTTTTCCTGCAGATGGACCACAAATGCAAAATGAAGTATATCTTCACCATTGCCCTTGAATTTTTCTTTGAAATTGGACAAGGTAACCGGAACTCGAAGACACATACCACAGAAAGTGACATAGGGAACAACCCCTTGCTTTGCACATGATTCTCTTCTTTGGTTTCTATCGGTGGTGATAAAAAAAGATAAGACGAAAAGAAAATAGTCTGTCCAAAAATAATAATTTTTTTCATGTGACCTGCTAAATATGCTAGCTGCATTTTTATTAAAAAAATAATAACTTATCATATTCAAAAATACTCAACAATATTATGCAGCTTCGAAGAAAACTAAAGTGTGGAATCAAAGTCAAATGGCCCTCTTGAAAACTAATTATAAATTTTAGGGTCAATTTTTTTTTTTAAAGAACAATGTTACAAAATATAATATCACATCATGTTGTAAATTATAATATGAGATGATATTAAATTTATAGATATATATAATACTAAACGTAACTCTAAATAAAAAGAATTAATCATAAATAATATATGATATAAATATTGTCTTTAAAGTATTATACTTCATATTTGTATGCTTTGCTTTTTTCTTCTTTAAATGACAACCTTATCAAAATTGTGCACTTGGTCAGTTAGGAAAGTACACCTTTCTTCCAACTAAGAGTTTGGTTAGACTCCCCTCTCTCACAATTATAATAATTCAAAATATATATATATCAAATTAAGCTCCTAATAATCCAAACTGCGAAACCTGTATAATGAACATTTAGACTATTTGAGTATTATATATCTGTATCAGCTAAGTTTACGTGCTAGAACCGTAACCATCCATTCAAGTCGGCGTCCACTTGCCTCCAACTCGCGACGTGAATTTTGCTCGTCTCAAACAATCAACAAAAATGCCTCTTTCTTATTCACCATATATGAGAGATGCCTCTTCTTATTCACTATAAAAGATACAAAGCACACATAATTTATATATTTTTGCTGACACATAATGTTACGTTTTATAATATGGTTTTCGAATTATAAAATACAAATTTCACCTCCCAAAAATATAAAAATATAAATTAAAAAAAAAAAAATAAAAAAAAAAAAAAAAAGAAAAAAAAGAGAGAAAGACATGGAAGTGATGTATTGTGTCGGCCAGATTTGGTTTTATCTTTTAGGAAGATCAACGTGGCGGCCTTGCCCGAACGACAGACTAGCAGCCAAGTGGGAAACTAATTCCTCTTACCCCTGCACTCCTCTTTCCACGCCTCTCCTCTCTATTTATAAAACCCCAGTGTTTTAGATTTAAGTGCTTCTTGGATTGAACGCAGAATCTTTCTGATTCTTGTTCTTGCGATGGCCTACAGATTTTAGCGGGAAAATAAAAGAAAAAGGGATTTATTAGGGTTTCTGCAATCCTTTTCTGCCATGGAAGGAGGCTGTTGTTCGACTTCGACGATGACCAGTACAGAGAATAAGCGGAAGCGGAGGAACCATCAGCAGCAGAACAAGCCCTACAGAGGAATAAGGATGAGGAAGTGGGGGAAGTGGGTGGCGGAGATTCGAGAGCCCAACAAACGGTCGCGGATATGGCTTGGTTCTTACACCACTCCTGTGGCCGCCGCCCGTGCCTACGATACCGCTGTTTTCTACCTCCGCGGTCCTTCTGCTCGCCTCAACTTCCCCGAACTCATCCTCGAAGAGGACGACCTCCACGAAATCTCCACCGCTTCAATCCGTAAGAAAGCCACAGAGGTTGGAGCTCGCGTGGACGCTATCCAGACAGCCCTCCACCAATCGGAATCGAACTCGGAAAGCCGGCTCTCGGAGAAGCCCGATCTGAACAAATTCCCAGAAGGTTCTGAGGAAGATTGAGATTACCAGACAAGTGTTTATAGCTGCTTTTTTTATGCTTCGATTTCCCGTGAACAGGATCGAAACGGATCATGTTCTGTTAGATAGTTTTCTGTTTCTCGTTTCTGTTTCAATTCTAGGTTGTAAAACGAAACAGGGGATAGCTTGGCCCGTTCGTTTTAATTAGTTACGAATTAGTAGTAGTAATTAAAATTAACAAATATGTTTTGTTTTTTTTTTCTTGGGTTTAGATTTTGTTATGGATATTGTCTTCTGTGTGATGAAATTTGTGGGAAATTTGATGAAAGAGTGAGGCGAAAGAAATGAGAATACAGCGTTGTGGCGAAGGATGCCCTAACTGTACTTTCTCACAAACCAAACAAAGATGATAAGGGGATGAGGTCTAGTTTGGATGCCTAACAACGGGCGGTTTTGTGTGTTGTAATGACGTGCCTGTGGACGCAAGACGCAACCAAACGGGAACTAGGGAGGGGAAAGGGGGAGAGGGACAGTGCGTGGTCCTTGATGTGGATGTTGTCACCGTCATGGGATGGTGTGGAAGGCTTGAGTAAAGGGGTTATTGATTTGGTGGAAGTTGATGGTGATGAAATGTGGGCGGTGAGTGGGTTCTCTGTTTTAATTACTTTCTTTAATGATTTTATATATACATCATACATACATATGCATATATATATATATATATATATATATTAGGTTATATAATATAATCTTTTCACTCATTTTATTTACATAATATATAATTTGAAATTAAAATTTTTTATTTTTATTGAAAGGAAGTTATTACTCAATTAATTAGGTCATTGGCAATTTCTTTAATGAGTTAAATATCAAGTTATAATAGTGTAGCTTATATCATAATTTTCATTAGATAATAAATTTTTATAAAATTTGTATTCTTTTAAATCAACTATTAAATTTAATGTTTTATATAAGTTGTGCATGTTGAATTTCAAATTAATAGAATATGTTTAATTATTTCATAATTACACTTAATTTTAACTATTAAATAAATAATAAGAATGTAGTTTTTTCATTTGTATATATGGATTTTAGACCACCTTAAAATTTAACAAGTATGATTAACATAAACAAAATGCTAAATCTACCTTGTCAATTTAGCAAAACACAAACTATATAAAAAAAATTATCAACATGTGTAGTTATAAAATTAATAACTGGTGAAGTTATAGTGTAAATTACACTAATATAACCTAATTATAAGGTCAATGGCTTAACTAATTTAATTGTAATCTTCTTATGTTAAAAGTGAGAAATTTTGAATTCGAATCACATTATATACCAATAGAGTAGAGTAAGAAATGGAAAAAAATTGTCTTTTATCATGCAAAAAATATATATATACATATATACAATTTAATTATGACACTTTTTAATTAATTATTTAATATAGTATAGTCTATATAAGTCCAAATTCTTAAATTTTAGGAGTCTAATATTCTTAAATCTCTCTGCAACGAGATTATTAAAAAAAAAAAAAACAAATCTCTTTGCAACGAGAACTTGATGTTTAAAAAAGGAGGATATAAAAAAGACCATAGTCTTGGTCTATTCCTATTGCGCCATTTCACATTTTCGCTTCCCAAACTCGGGGTGACTGACCGTGTCCCGTATAACTGCCACAAACGCCAAGAAATTCCAATACTAGGGTTGATGTCTATTACTTTTAATTAATTTCTGGATGACAAGCCTATGATGCGTATTTGGTACCCGACATGTAACACAGGTTAAATATTTAACTCATCCACTTCTAGTTGGGACACTATGGTTTAGCTTCAATTTGTCGCGCTGTTCCAACCAAATCTCAATCCATTTTTTTTTTTAAATTAATTGGATTATTTTAGACAATTACAGATACCTAGCTAGCCACTGATCTTGGGATCTTCCGACTCTAGTCTGTAGTAGATCTATCTTTCTTTCTTTGCTTTGTTTTTGTCCATGGTGACAGATGATTGTAGTTTAAAATATTGCTATAATTGATTAAACAACTGTAACTAGTGCACGCTAGGGATAAGTATCTAAAGTACAAAAATTAGATTAGTGTTTAATAATTATTTT